ACCAGATGGCGCAGCCGAAGCAGCAGACGGCGTATTCATGGGTGGTTTGTATGCGCCAGCTGAAGGTTTCTCCGTGGGCGATGTCGGTGCCCCTTCCTCAGTTTTATTACCAGATGGCGCAGCCGAAGCAGCAGACGGCGTATTCATGGGTGGTTTGTATGCGCCAGCTGAAGGCCTGTCCGTGGGTGGTTTGTATGCGCCAGCCGAAGGCCTGTCCGTGGGTGGTTTGTATGCGCCAGCCGAAGGTTTCTCCGTGGGAGGCCTATATGCACTAGAGGCAGTCGTTACCGCGCTAGCCAAATCTGTCGGCGCTGCTGGAGAGGGTTCCACCTTTTTGGCAGTTCCGCTCGCAATGTCCTCCAGAGTCGGCAAGTCGGCGCTGCTGAGGGTCGCAGAGCTCCTCAGTGGCCCAGTTGACTCCTCCTTACCGCGTGCCACGAAACTTCGCTTTCCCGATTTCTCAGCTGCCTTTGCCAGCAAGTCCTCCACAGAGGCAGACGTCGTCTTCACAGCATCCCACCCCTTCGCTTTCTTTTCAGAGGTCTTGATCACCCGCATAACCACTTTCGTGCGATCCTCGTCGCCCTTCCTCACAGCAGCATCCGTATTGGATGTTGTGTCTGGCGGTGTCTCGGTGGTGGTAGTGGCAGCAGCGGCAGCGGCCTCTACAGGGGCGCCGTTCGATGGTGCCGCAGCATCAGGCGCGTGGTTGCTGGTCGGGGATGCGACTGGTCTCTCCTCCTTGGAATCCTCCGCCTGCATCACCTCCGGCGCCGGTAGCGTGACGGACGCCGCGCCCTCCAGACCGCCAAAGATGTCTAAGCCCAGCTCCGCCTGCTGCTTCTCGGAGAGCTCGCCCTTTTTGGCCCTCTTTTTGCCCCCCGCGAGCTTCTTGCTCTTCTTGTCCAGGAACGCATCCAAATCCATTGCTCTTTCCTTCCTTCCACCCGCTTTTCCTTCGCTTCGATCCACTAGTCGCTTTTCTCCCCCGCTTTCCCCACCAAAGTGCGTGCACACAGTAAGAAGAACGCAGGCTGCACTTACGCGTTTGGAGGTCTCCCCAGAAGGCAAGGGACACGCACACCCCCTCATTCCCCAACCACGCAAATACACAAAACAAAAGAAAACAAAATACAAACCAAAACACATCAAAAAAGTTATGGTGGTCTTCGCCCTTTTTTTTCCCGCAAGAAAACGTTGGGTGACCTGTGGACTCCGTCCGGGGCCCGGAGAGAACACAACGCTGCGCACTTTGCAGTTGGATGCGTCGTAACCAAATAACGTGCAGCGATAGCGGCGAGGGGGCTGTTCTAGTTGTTCCTTGCAAGCCAACGAAAGAATGGCTCCCCGCCAACGCGTCTGCACCGTTCAACTTTGCAAATGGACTCGACCGCAGGATTCGAGTCAAATGCGACGAGGCGCGCATCAGAAAGTGGCGCCGCCCAAAAGGCGAACATTGGGGTGTTTGCTGGTGCATCGCGCCCACCCACGCCCCAAAACGGTCTCAAAAAGCCTCTCTCAATCCGTGCGGGTGCACGTCCCCAGCAGCCAAACGCCCTATGCGGCAGGCACCTCCACACCGTGGGCCTCCGCGTCAGTGGACGCAAGCAGCCCATGTGGCCACGCCATCACCGTGCGAAACTCCGGAGACGCCCCGCATCCTCCAACACTTCCCCCCCCCCCCCCCAAAACTCGTCCGCGTCATTGGCAAATCCATCGGGCAGAAGAAGTGACTCCTGCATCCGGCAGGCCTACAACCATCATCATCGCCGTCAATGCCGTGATGTAAAAGGAAACTGCCGCGGTCTCCCACAGGAAAAGGCGACAACTGCGTTGTGTAGGTTGGCCAACCAGCGGTTATGTGAAGTAGCCTTGGCCGACACAGCGGAAGCGCCCGCTCATCAGGCTCACTCGCCGCCTTCCACCACGGCGCCTTTGAACACAGAAAACCGTGTAATGGATACAGTAATCAGAGGAGTTTAACTAGACATACACTAACAGCCTCCTAGCCCCATTGGCTCACAGTATCCCTCAGCAACTCCAATGTATTATGCGCGCTATGGCTGGTCTCTTCTTCTCCCTACCCCTACGGCAAGAAAGGTCAACAAGGTGGAGGCAAGCGGTTTGGCGCAATAAGGCCCCAGCAGCCCATTCAGCTAAGACAGAGCCCAGGCAACACACACACACACACACACACACACACACACAGCCGACTGAAATGCGGGACTCGTTTCTTCTGTTTTTTTCTCTCGCTCGCTCGCTATTTTACTCTCCGACGCACTGGCAAGAAGTAAACACAATTAAACATTATTATTTTTTTTTTTGCCCATTGATACACGCCGAGAGAGAGAGAGAGAGGAGGAGGAGGAGAGAGAGAGAGGT